CCAAAACACCCTGGACAGGGCCAAGCACACAGGAAGCCTCAGGAAATAGATGAGCATATGAAAAAGGGGATCATTTTTACAGTAAGCAAAGAAATACAAATTAAAGGAGATACTATTCTCTCTCCTTTCATCACATTGGGAAAAGATTTTTAAAAATTTAAAAAAAAAAAAATTAAAAAAACAATAATACCCAGAGCTGTGGGAGATGTGAGGAAACCAGCACTTTACTCAAATACTCACAGAAAAGTCCACTAAATCTTTCAGAGTGGTGATTTAGTCTTAGGTGTCAAAACTGTAAATGTGTGTGTTCTCTCTGGACCCCTTCCAGACATTTGTCCTAAGGGTTCTGGTACATATCCAAGAGTTACATTCATTCAGTGTCATTTCTAACTGTGGGAAGAAATGAGATGACTCAAAAAGTCCTTAGAAGGATGGATTACAATGTAGTCACAGGATGAGACTCTCTCTAGAACCATCCAAATTAACAGGTCTGCAAGAACATGTACGAACTTGCCCCCTTTAATGCTAAATGAACAGTGGAAATAAAACAGAATACAAAGACTAGTCATCCCTTGGTATCCTATCAGTGGGGGTTTGGTTTCAGGATCCCCCATGGATACCAAAAGCTGTGGATGCTCAAGTCTCTTATATAAAATGGCACAGTATTAGCATATAACCTACACACATCCTTCCATGATGATTTAATACTTTAAATCATCTCTAGATTACTTATTACACCTAACAGTGTAAATGCTAGGTACACAGTTGTTATACTGTTTTTATTTGTATTTTCATTTTTGATTGTATGGGTGTATTAGTCAGGGTTCTCCAGAGAAACCGAATCAATAGGATATGTTATAATTATATGAGAGGGATTTATTAGGGGAATTAGCTCACGTGGCTATGAAGAAAAGTCTCACAATAGACCGTTTATAAACTGGATGCTGGTAGCGTGTCTCAGTCCAAGTCCAAAGGCCTCAGAACCAGGGAAGCTGATGGTGTCCTTGGTGTAAGTTCNGAACCCTCAGCGGGAGCGCCACTGCGCTTCCCAAGTGGCGCACTGTAGCAGTGCGCCACTGGGCCGGCCCCTCTTTTAACTACTTCTAAAGTATATAGTTCAGTGGTATTATGTACATTCATAATGTTGTGCAACCATCAACACCATCCATCTCTGGAACTCTTCTGACCTTGTAAAACTGAAACTCTGTACTTGTTAAACATTAATTCTCATTCTCCTACCCTCCCAGCCCTGGCAACCACCATTCTACTTTCTGTCTCTATGAATCTGACTATCTTGTTCATTATTCTTTATCACATTAATGACATCACCTCCAGTAAGTCCTGTTGGCACTACCTACCCAGATTCCTACCACTTCTCCACTCTATGGAGCCTTCCAATCCACTGTCAGCACAAACCCAGATGCTTGCAGAAGCATTCTCTAGGGCTCTGTGCTCACCTGCCCTCACTTTGTCCCTCAACATCTTGGCTGGAGAGATCCTACTAAAGCACACAGCAGATAATGTTGCTCTCCTGCTCAAAACTCTCCAAAGGCTTCCACCTCTGTCAAGTGTAAAAGCCACAGACTAGTTCCCTCTGTACCCAAAACACCCTGGACAGGGCCAAGCACACAGGAAGCCTCAGGAAATAGATGAGCATATGAAAAAGGGGATCATTTTTACAGTAAGCAAAGAAATACAAATTAAAGGAGATACTATTCTCTCTCCTTTCATCACATTGGGAAAAGATTTTTAAAAATTTAAAAAAAAAAAAAATTAAAAAAACAATAATACCCAGAGCTGCGGGAGATGTGAGGAAACCAGCACTTTACTCAAATACTCACAGAAAAGTCCACTAAATCTTTCAGAGTGGTGATTTAGTCTTAGGTGTCAAAACTGTAAATGTGTGTGTTCTCTCTGGACCCCTTCCAGACATTTGTCCTAAGGGTTCTGGTACATATCCAAGAGTTACATTCATTCAGTGTCATTTCTAACTGTGGGAAGAAATGAGATGACTCAAAAAGTCCTTAGAAGGATGGATTACAATGTAGTCACAGGATGAGACTCTCTCTAGAACCATCCAAATNAGGGATGACCGGTGTGCTCACAGCACTCACTGGCTGAGCGCAGTGTGGCCGGTCTCAAAAAAAGAACAAAAAAAAAAGAAAAAAAAAGTTCTTTTCAACTTTCCCTTACGGTACTTGTTGACTATCAGTCTCATGCCAATATTTAGCCTTAATTTTCTGTATTAGTCCTTTTTGTGTTGCTATAACAGAAATACCTGAGACTGGGTTATTTATAAAGAAAAACAAAATATATTGCTTACAGTTTCTGAGACTGGGAAGTCCAAAGTCCATCTGTTGGTGGCAACAGAGACCCAGGGGTCTCACATTGCAAGATGGTGGAAGGAGAGAGAAGAGAGAGCAAGAGAGAGAGCTTCTCATTCATTCTCTTTTTAAAGCCCTCAGAACCACACTCCTGACCACCATTTTTAATCCATCTCCTAAAGCATGATTCTACGATTCAATCACCTCTTCAAGGCTCCACATTTCAATTGCCATAATAGGATTTCCCACCCTCTTAACAGTCACAGTGGGGACCAAGTTTCTAATACATAAAACTTGGGGACACAATTCAAGCTTCAGTGAGTTGTGGGGGGACATAATCCACTACTATGGGTTTTTAAAAATATTTTCTTTTTTTTTTTTTTCCCCTTTTTTTGTCTTTTCTCGTGACCGGCAACGGATCGCAACCCTCAGTGTCGCGCCC